AAAAAAAAAAAAAAAAATTGATCTCTCAGTAATAAATGTTATGGAGGAAAAAAAAAAAAAAGCATAAGAGATGGGAAATAAGAGCTGCTAAAGGGCCAGTGATATAGCTCAGCAGACTAAGCGTTTGCTTAGGTAAGCACAGGGGTCAGGGTTTGATCCCTGGCTCCCACACAGTGCCCACCGCACCCCTGGGCATGTTGAGCCGGGCGATTGAGTCTGCTTGGTGGCGCACGCCTGTAATCCCAGCACTAGGGAGGCAGAAATCAGGAGCATTACCACAAGGCTGAGCTGCGCAGTGAGACCTGCACAAAAAAAAAAAAAGAAAGCTGCTGGGAGAGGACAGTTGCTATGGAGATGGGATGGGGGATGGCCTAGGGAACAAAAGAAACAGGTGAGAGAGGAAGCGCTGTGGAGGGAACAGCAAGTGCAAAGGTCCTGAGCCTGCCTGGTGTCATAGTGAAACTGGCAGGCAGCAGAGACCAAAGTGACAAGACTGAAGTTGACACAGGAAAGCAGGGAGGAATACATGGGGGTCATGAGGGCCGGAACCAGGACCTCCCCAGCCACAAAGAAAACTTCAGCTTTTACTCTGAATGAGTGAGGAGCCATAGAAGGACTCAGGGGCCAGCCAAATAGCTCAGCTGATTAAATAACCTGCAAGCAGGCGCAGGGGCCAGGGTTCAATCCCTGGGCCTGCCATTCTGGCCCTGCCCCTGGGGCACACTGAGATGGCAGCTGAGACTGGGCGTGGTGGCACACACCTGTAATCCCAACTCTTGGGAGGCTGTAAACAGGCGGATCACTACCAGACCAATCTAGTAGTGAGACCCTGAACACCCTGTAGACAAATTCCCCTAAAATACAAAAAAAAAGGTGAGGGGAGGGACCGGGGAGATGGTTCAGTAGAATAAGCGCTGGCCTGGCAAGCACAAGGGCCTGAGTTCAATCCCCATTCTGCCAAAAAATGAAGAAGAAGGAGAAGGAGAAGGAGAAGGAGAAGGAGAAGGAGAAGGGGGAGAAGGAGAAGGAGGAGAAGAAGGACTCAGGCAGAACAATGCCAATTCACGTTTGAGCAGGATCCCTCTAAAGCTGTTTTAGGAAACTAAACTGCAGGGAGCTAGAGAGGGCAGGTCCCCTGTGACTGCTGTAACAGAAGTTTCCAGTCTCTGCAGGCCAAGCTGGCCATGTGGAGTCTTAGGGCTCCCCTCTTTTGTGCACACCCCTGAGGTCTTCCTTCTCACCTAGCACCTTGGCTGGCTGCTTTGGTCTCAGAAGGTGGGAAAGGTACAATGGATATGAGGGCACCACCCACATCCAGCCCAAGGAATGTACAAGCCAGGGACAGAGGAGTTAGGGTAACTTGTCCCCAGGCTTACATTGTGTCCTGCAATGAGCCCCCCTCCACCCGGCCCCCACAGAATTTGCGTAGGACCCTGTGAGCATGTTTGCCTCTTGCAAGTCTCCGCTGAGCACCCTCTCTGGGTCTGGGTGGCACCCAGGATACAGTAATGACTGAGCAGCCCTCACCACCCTTGCAGGGGCTCGTAGTATGTGACATCCTCAGACAGGGTCACCCCAGAGTATGCAGAGCTGAGTGGGGGCCAGGGGGTTAGGGGAGAGCAGGAGAAACCCAAGGGGGCTCCTTCCTGGAGGAGGGGGCAGTGCAGCATCACTACTCAAAGGTCACCTTTCTGAGCTTAACAATCACTCTCCTGTGAGACCAGCGGATAAAGTAACTTGGCCAGTCTGGCCAATAACCGCACTAACCTGTAATCTAAGCTTTCCCTTTGGGGCTACAGGCAAAGCCAGGCTCCAGGGAACCCCTCCTCTTACCGGGGACCCTGCAAGCTGACCAGTGTCCTGGGCTGCCTTCCCCCAACTAATCAGTGCCACCCCTCCCCCCAAGCTCCAGCCAGCAATCGGGCGATTTGGTCCCAGTCTGACCTGGCTTGCGGGGAGACTTGAGCAGCCTGTTCGGTGACCCTTCAGGGTGACCTGTGACCTTTCCTTTCCACCAGTGGCCAGCTTCTCCTCCTTCTCCTCCTCCCCCTCCACTCACCTGCCCCTGCCAGCCTCTCCCACTCCTCCCCTCCCCCAAGGTGGAGTGGGAATGAAAAGGAAAGGAGGAAGAAGAAAGGGGGGTGGCATTCCTTGGATTCCCTGGATGGGGGAATAGAGGGCGGGCCTCGGGGGGGAGCAGGCGAGAGCACCCCGCATGCACCCGGCCATCCATCGGCGACAGGTGGACTTGGCAGGTAGACTGAAGGCCGTCAGAGATAAGAGTTGAGCGGGTCCCTCGAAGATCACTAGCTGGTCACTACCCAGAACGAGAACCTCGGCTACCTGCCACAGCGGGAAGGAGTCTGCGAGGGCTCAGGCCAGAGCGACAGGGCCCGGGACGCGGCCCAGGTCACCGCTCGCTCGGGACCCCGGCCGCACTGCAGGGGAGTCCCGCGCGGGTGCGGCTCCGCGGGACGCTCGGGGGCGCGGGCGCGGGCACGGGGCAGG